AGAAGAATAAAAGCTTACCATAGAATTAGAATACCATATCAACTACAATAGCCCTCAAAAATAAAATTAAAGACATTTTCTGACAGATTAAAAAGTGAGAGAATTCACCTCTAGAAAACTGCAATAAAAGAATGCTAAAAGTATTGTGAGGTTTATAGTATATATAAGTAAAATATAAAATAAAAAGAGTATTCTAAGAGTACATATTATTTTATATTGCACTTTCCAATAAAGTAGCCACTGGTAATAACTGTCTATTTAAATTCATTAAACAAAATTAAAAGTCTATTTACACTAGCCACATAACCATTCAGACAGAGAATATTCCTGTCATCATAGGAAGTTCTATTGGACAGTGCTATTCTAGAGCAACAAAGAGAATGAAAATGTTGCAGATCACATAGTCTCCACTTCTTCTTCCTTCTATTTATAAACTTCAAATAATGTAAATCAAACAGGGCATGGTGGCACACATCTGTGATCCTAGCAACTCTGGAGAATGAGGCAGGAAGATTGCAAGTTTGAGGTTAGCCTTAGCTTAGGCCCTAAGCAATTTACCAAGATCCTGTCTAAAAAAATAAAAAGGGTTGGGGATGTAGCTTAGTGGTAAAGAATCCCTGGATTAAATAAATCCCCAGTACCAAAAAAAAAAAAAAACTAGGGCAAGAAGGGACTGGGGTTGTGGCTCAGTGGTAGAGCACTTGTCTGGCACATGTGAGACTCAGGGTTCAATCCCTAGCACCACATAAAAATAAATAAATAAAATAAAGGTATTGTATCCATCTACAACTAAAAGTATATATATATAAAAACTAGGTCAAGAAATAAATTTCCTTAGGTTGGTAAAGGACATTCATAAAAACAAAACAAACCCTTACAGTTACCATTACACTTACTGGTAAAACAACAAAACCTTTACTCCTACTTTTGAGAACAAACAAGGCAAGAATGTTTTTTGGTTTTTGTTTGTTTGTTTGTTTTTTGGTTTCAGTACTCAGGATTAAACCCAGGGGGGCCCTCTACAACTGAGCTACATCCCCATACTTCTCAAAATTTTGAAACAGATTCTTGCTAATTTTCCCAGGTTGGTCTCAAACTTGCTATCATCCTGCCTCAGTTTCCTGAGTGGGTAGATTATGGTGTGCAACACCATATCTGGCAAGGTAACTGTTCTTATCACATGTATTAAACATTATAGTAGATATTGTAGCCAGAATAGAAGAGCAGACAACAAAATAAAAGGCACAAAAATGTGATTCACAGATCATATTTTTGTGTATATATATTACTGTATGGATTCTACATTATGTCTAAAACTAATAAATAGTCTTAGCAAGGTGGCAGAATTTGAGATGAATGTACAAAAAAATGTAATTTTATATATATACTAGCAACAAATAAAAAACTGGAATATAAAACTTAGTACTTAAGCCATGTGTGGTGGCGCATTACTGTAATTCCATCAACTCAGAAGCCTGAGGCAGGAGGATCTCAAGTCCAAAGCCAGCCTCAGCAACTTAGTAAGATCCTTTCTATATTTAAAAAAAAAAAAAAGGTACGGGGATGAGGATGTAGCTCAGTAATTAAGCACCTCTGGGTTGAATCCCCAGTACCAAAAAGAAAAAATAAAAATAAGTAAAAATATAAATTAGTACTTTAAAAAATCAAATACCTGAGGAAAAACAATCTAATGAAAGAGAGCAAGTCCTATAAGGAAAGCTACAAAACATTGCTATAAAAATATTAAAGAAAATCTAATAAATGACAATGCACACCATATTTATGGCTTAACTGACTTAATACTAACAAAATATTCAATCTTCTTAAATTGACCTACAGATTCAATGAAACCTTATCAAGATTCCAGCAGCCCTTTCTAAAAAATAAGACACACTCATCCTAAATTTTATATAGCAAAGCAAATAATACAAATAATCTAAAATAACCAAAGCAATATAATTTTTTTTAAAAAACTGGGGATTGAACCTACACCTACAAACACTTTACCACTGAGCTGCATTCCTAGTCCTTTTATTTATTCACTTATTTATTATTTTGAAACAGGGTCTTGCTAAGTTGTTGAAGTTGGCCTCAAACTTGTGAACCTCCTGCCTCAGCCTCTCAGCCACTATGCCCAGCTAATCAACTGATTTTCAACCAAAGTGCTAAGTAGATCTAATGGGTGATGTAAATCTTTTAAACAAATGTTACAGTAAACTGAATATTCACGTCAAAATAAAACCTCAATGTTAACAAAAATTAATTTGAAATGGATCATACACATAAATTAAAGCTCAACCATAGATGTAAACCTCAAAATTATTATTATTATTTTTGTGTGTGCCAGGGAATGAACTCAAGGTCACTCAGCCATTGAGCTACATCCTCAAAACCATTAATTTAAGATGGATCAGTATGTCTGGCTACAGAGTTTTTATGTAGGAAAAGACATGAAAGATACTTAGTAAAAGATATGCAAATAGAAGATAAGCATAAAAAAACATGCTTAATATCATTAATCATCAGGTAAAAGTAATATAAATTAAAAAGCCGAGTTATATCATTCCTGCTAAAATAGCTAATATAAAAAAATTAATAGGGGCTAGAGATGTGGCTCAGGTGGTAGTGCACTTGCCTAGCATGCGTGAGGCAAGGGTTCAATTCTCAGCACCACATAAACACAAAATAAAGATACTGTGTCCACCTAAAACTAAAAAGTAAATATTAAAAAAAAAACATTAATAGGAAATGTTGACATATGTGAAGCAATTGGAACTTCATATATCACTGATAGGCATACAAAACAGTAAAACCACTGTAGAGAAATGGAGTGCAGTTTTATATAAATACAAGCTTACCATATCACCTATAAATTTTTTACTCTTAGGTATTTATCTAAGGGAAATAAAAACATGTATTTACAAAAAAGTAAAAAAAAAAAAACAAAAAAACGCTCAAATTGCCCCAAACCAGAAACAGCCTACTCAAAAAAAAGAGATATACAAATTAGAGTATATTTATACAATGAAATGCTACTCAGCAATAAAGAACAATCTACTGATACACACAATATGGATGAGTCTTTAATGTGTTATAAATGAAAGAAACCAGATACAAGAGTATGTGTTGTATGATCCATTTATATAAAATTTAAAAGCAGGCAAAACAAATCATCAGTGATTAAAAACCAAGTGATCACTGGGATGGGATGGGGCTCAAAGATTTTAAAGGTACTTGATGAGAACTTAATTTTAATATTCTATAGCTTCTTCTGGGTGGTTATAACACAGATGTGCACCATGGCCAAAACACCAAACTGAACACTTAAGATGTGTATGCAATTTACTATAAATAAATTTCTATATGTCAATTTAAAACAAGTCAAGAATTCCTATTCTGGGGACATCGTTTCCAACTCTTTGCTGACCTATCTGATCTGCTCAATTCAGTGATTTGGGGGTGTCTATCTGTTCAGGGTTAGGCGCTTGATAATGAAATTTATCTTAGAGGGCATACAATCCAGTTTCCCCCCAAATAGCATTTGGAATCTGTAAATCAATTTTACAGAACCAACAATCATATTTACATTAGTTGGTGTGCAAACATTTTATCACTGTAAGGCACTGACTTGTACTAAATTTTTTTACAAGAATACATCACAGAGTTCTTTAAAAAATACATTTTTGAGCCTACTTTATTGCAAGTTGATCAGAATGAAAGGGTAAAAACTAATTCTTTAAAGTCATGCAAAACACTATCACCAACCATTAGGCATATTTTCTGGCATCTGCTGCCAAGACTTTTACAATATTCCAAATTAATATAAGGATTTTTGGATACAAAATATTTCCTATTCAAACCAAGCATCTTTACTAAAGCAGGTGGACACTCAGGATAGTTTCGTCCCTTATTAGGAAACTCTAGAATTTGCCCTAGATTAGGTAAAAATGAACCACAAGTCAGGATATGTGGGTAGGAATTTATTAGCAAGCAAACAACTTTGTTCATACCAGGAAGACCAGCTATTAGATTATAAATGACTTGAGAGCAGGTGCAAGAACAATTTTAGAGCATTCCATAAGGATGTGTACTGCTCAAGTAGGCTCACAAAAGGGTGCTCCATAAATGATGATTATCATTTTATGATGCTGTTCTCCAGGAAAATGGTGATCTGCAAAGATGGGAATACACATAGCAAGAGATTTTCCCTGCAAGAGAAAACTAGGACATTCAAGTAGCAACTTTGGATAGGGTTTCCAAAAAAATTTAGGACAAAATCCTGCTCTGTGTTTGCTCAACTGTCAGGAATCTCAATATTGCTAACCAATTCCACAGAGCCTGATCTACATTGCACAAGGCCTAGATTCAAAATTCTAATAGCCATTTAATGTGCACTGAAGTGGCTTCTAGGGCACTGTTTTGTTATTATGCATACAGAAGGAAACTTCGATCATTAGAAGGAAATCCAAAATCTATAGGAACACATTTTCAGCCTAAGTGCTTTCTTTATAGGGAATACACTGTCTACAAGAGGGTAGTATACAGGTTTTGTATTTTTTATAACCACACTCCAGATTTTCACCTTGAAACTTGAATACTGTGGTGAAAGGCAGGCAGTTTGAAGGGTAAAGATCAAACTTCTACACATATACAGTTAATAAAGAGAAATTTATATCAAATATTACTCAGGTTACTGTAGGCGTAGAGAGTCAATATTAATTGAAGTTAAGCCTGGTCTTCCGGAAAGGGCTTGGAAATATGGAGCCTTGTATTTCTTCTCAACTCTCATTAAATTGCTAGAATGTCTCCCAGATGTGGTTGGGGGTGCATGTGTAAGCAGTATATCTATGGTTACAACAAAAGTCACATGATTTTAACAGAAAAGAGCTACAATTAAGAATTGGTTATTGAGTTTTCAAGGCAATCTACGGCTGAAAATCCTCTAGCCGGTGCTTTTGGGTAAGGCTGTTTGAAAAGCAATATAGTGCAGTGGTCAAATGTGGCTCCAGCTCTATTAGTTGGCTAAGTAGTCCTGGGCAATCTTTTTTTTTTTGGTGTAGAATCATGGTTAAGGGCTTCAGAAAAATCAGCAGACCCTTTGTTCACTGCTGTATCTCCAGTGCCTAGAACTTTGGGTGTTGACTGAAGGAACCTAGGTTTGAAACTTCATTCTACCACTTGCTGACAGGATGACTTCAGGGAACTATGCACTTTCTCTATTTTCTTATTTATAAAGTAGGATTATGAATTTAAAGAATAGACATGATACACTTAATAAACACTAGTAGCCATAATGACCTATTATATACTAATACTTACATTTACTTAAAAAACAAAACTTTCGTGGCATTTGAGTTTTGTAAGACAACTTCTATGATGCATATAAAATTAACCATGATCACGAAGATCAGCCTTTCTATTCACTGGGGTAAGCCACGTTTGTTGATGATCCTGCACAACGAATCTAATTGGTTCTGTCTACCTGTGTCTGTCCAGCCTCAAACTATGGGGTAAGGAACAGGAAAATCAGAAACTACTGGATAGAATGATGTGGCAGACAATGCCGGTGTAAGCATCAAAATGGCTGTTCCAGTTCCTAGGTATGATTCTGCATTTGGGAGTCTACAACTCTTTTTTTCTGAATTGGCACCGATGTGCTTATTATTTATAAGTGGTTTTATCCACCCCCAACCCTGGACTGAGGATGGAACTCAAGGGCCTCATGTGTGCTAGTCAATCATTCTTATCACTGAGCTACAACCCCAGCCCTTTCTATTTTGAGCCAGTCACACTAAGTTGATCAGCAAACTTGCTATCTTTAGGCCTTAGTCTTCAAAAGAGTTGGGATGGCAAGTGTGCACCAATGCTCCTGTAGCACCTCCACTTTTATTTGACTGTCACAATATTTTCCTAAAACACAGCAAAATATAATTTATATCATTTCTCAGACCTTACTCTTTGGATTAGCATATCCATGGTCCCATGAATCATAATATTGTCTGAAAACCACTTCGCAAGAATCTCACATTAGTAACTTTTCCATTCTGCTTAGAGAATTTTTAGCTGCTCCAAAAATGGGATTTAACTCCACACACACACAATTCTAAAGTTGTCTTCCTCTGTTTATTTCTATGTTGGACATTTGACTGATTTCCAATTAAAACATTTCTGAGTTGCAAATCCCTTAAAACAAATCAAATATGCACCAACTTTATCCCCAAAGAAATATGAAAATGAGGGGTCCACATTTTCCTGATTCTGAAAGATCTAAGACTTTCCATGTTTACTGTTTATAATCTTCTTAAAGCTCCAAAGGTCATCCAATTCCAAGGATGAAGGCTGAAGTCGAATGCATATCTGTGTTTGGTGCATTTTCAGTTATCAGTAATAAAATAAATCTTTTATCAAGGTCCAGTAGACTACCCAAAATTACTTATATTGAAAATAACTAGATAAACAGCTATAAATTAATTGGGCATTATTTATCAAATCTAATCATGCTAAGTCATTTGTTTTCAACCATCACATAGGATCACCTTTATATGAGGACTAACTACCCTAATCTGCTTGATGAAAAGTACTTCTATTCATGGCTAGTTTCTTAACAATGAGGCAAAATATAGGATATTAGCTGTAAATTCTGCCAATGACAAATTAAGATCAGAGATAGTATACAACAATATTCTCTCAATAGCCATGGTAGGCATTCATGTAGTGTTCATGTCGTTTAAAAGTACAACACTATAGTAAAAAAAACTACATTTCCTGATCCTGAATACTAGGCCGTTCTGAGATTAGAATAAGAAAATTATACAGACTACTGTAAAGTCCAATGCTATTTGGTCCCAGACTGAAGGATATGGTGAACTCTAATTATAGATCCAATAGACGGAATTAAATTGCCCCAAAATCTGGATTTAGAATAGCAATAACTCTCCAACTTTGAGACCTTCTGCAAGACAAGTCTCCCACTTCATCCCTATCAGAAATATCAGCTTTGGGGCTGGGGATGTGGCTCAAGCGGTAGCGCGCTTGCCTGGCATGCGTGCGGCCCGGGTTCGATTCTCAGCAACACATACCAACAAAGATGTTGTGTCCGCCGAGAACTAAAAAATAAATATTAAAAAAAAAAAGAAAAAGAAATATCAGCTTCTAAGAGTGAGCAAAATGGAAGTAACATAAAGGAGTTTTGAGGCTGAGAATGACTTTTAATGTACCTATCTTTCTTAAAAAAAATGATATTCAGCTAGGCGCAGTGGCACATACATGCCTGTAATCCCAGTGATTCAAGAGGCTATAGGCAGGAGGAAGCAAGTTTGAGGCAAGGTTCAGAAACTTACCAAAGCCCTAAGTAACTTAGTGAGACACTGTCTCAAAATTAAAAAAAAAAAAAAGGGTGGGGTGGGGTGGGGGGAGGCTGGGGATATAGCTCAGCAGTAAAACACCCCTGGGTTAAATCCCCAGTACCAAAATAAAATTAAAAAATAAAAAAACTGATATTCAAATATCTACTGAGCATCTAATGGGTACCACTGTTACAACACAAACAGCAATCTAACTTCAATGTTCAAGACACAGAAACTGGAAAGCTTTCAAAAAATACTCTAGAAACTTCATTTAACCAAGTCCTAAATGCAAAGAAACTGAACCAAATCCTGATATATTAAGTAGGAACAGTGATTAAGGTACATAATAATACATACAAGTGGCTGGTAGCCACCTATAAGTCATTTTTTAAACTCTAAAATAAACATAAGTAACTAATGGAATAACAAAATAAAAGTTTATTTTATTAGAATTAGGAATGTTCTTTCCCTCTGGGCAACCTGAACAGTCCAGTTACAATGAAAATCTAAGAACAGTTATTTCCACAGCACAGGGTGCTCTATGCACAAAATTACAGGGTTAGGAGCATTTAATCAATTTACCGATCTGATTGTCTCACCAACCCACCCCATCCCATCCCCCAAGTGCTCTATACGGGGATATATAGCTAAAAGAATTTGTCACATTAAGTCCTTTCCTCTCTCGTACTAAATTTCAATTCCTAATCAAAGCTGAAGCACATATTACACTGCAGATGCAACCATTTCAAATTAAGTCAGTCAGTCTTGGATCTGTTGTATATGTGTGTATGTATACACATGTGCATTTAATGTATTTATTTAAACACACATAAAACACATACAATCTGGGTCGCAGAAAAATTACACAAAATTTAGTCTGATGATATTATATGCTACTCCATTTTACCACTATTGTTTGTATCCTGAGCTTTGGATCAAAATTTTATTATAAATCATTTAAGTCCATCTGCTATTCAATGAATTGTTCAAATGAAGCATGCACTTTTTAAAAGACAATATAACTGACCTCAAGAAAACAGGGAGACCCTGGTGCTTACTGTGAATAGAGCCCTCTGATAGACTTAGGTGAAATAGGGAAGCTGTTATACAATATGGCTTGCCTATCCCAGCTAGGGGCACTGAAGTTAACAATGAAAGCAATTAACTCTGGGAAGTCTGTCAAATACAGAGATAGCTGTTAAAAGCTTGGAAGTAGAAAAGACAGTTCACCTTGATCCATATGAATTAGGAAATGCACCCACAACTGCAATAACCTCAGGTAGTATGCCAACACTGGAACTAAAAAGCATCTCTAGAAAGCACTGTTCCTCCATGGGTGGGGGCTGATATTATTAAGTGCACACACTGTTTTTGTATACTTGTTGCAAAGGGAGCATGTGAAGAGAGTGTAGGATACTCAAACCTATATACTGCAGATTTTTCTTTAAACACCACGCATACACAAAGCATTTTGAGGAAGTCACATGTGTCTGCATAGCAACTCTGTTTGCTTTTCAAAGTTACCAGAAAGGGGGAAAAATCTCTTTAGTTTTGATAAATGTCTTGTAAAATTGATGCAGTAATTTAAAGTAAAATAAAGTCAAATGGATGACTGGTGAAGGAAGAGAAGAGGGAAGAAGCAGACAGTGAGTTCAGATTTGCACCTGAGGTGGCAAGGAAGGGGAAGAAAAAGAGTACAGATAAAGTTGATCCTAAAGCAACAAGTGGTTTAAGAAGCAGCATAATACACTCAGCAAACATTCACTGATTTTTGATGGGAAAAGAACAGTTGCAAGTACATCTCATGTAACAACCTTTTCTAAAAGGAAAAGTAGGGTTGATTCAGCAAAGCCTAACTTAGGCAAAAGGCCAGAGGAAAGTGAACCTACTTCCCAATGGAGTAATAAGATGTACAATGCAAGAGCAGACAAAGCTGCCTCACAAATGGTAAACACTCCCTAGGCACAAGACATTTAAAGGAAGACAAAGAGGTCCTTAGCCAAAACTGGTCTTAATATTTAGACCTCTTAATCTAGTTGCCTAGTTCACTCTGCACACTTGTATAAAACTGACAGATTTAGGGATGCTGACCTTTTGAAAAATACCATAGCCAGAATGGCCTAAACAGGTATATAATTAATAAAACCACCACCATCCTTTACTTTTAACATAGCTCTTAGTAGAAATTTCATAAAAATGGACATCACAGCTAAAATGCATTATTAATTCTCTTATCTGCTGACAATAGAAAAGAAGCAAACTCAGTGATTTCTAGTTAAATACACTGGATGGGAAATATCATGTTCTAGGGGTGTTTGCCTTCAAACTGAACCCACAGCAACACACACAAGCAATTTCAATATCTGCCATTTTAAATTCACAATTTGAGACTATGTGAATGGCTATTTATTTATATTTAAAGCAAAAACATTCTATTTGACACCCTAATGGAGAGAAGGGGTAAGACGAGCCATAACTAAAATTTTGAAAGGCTCAAAGCAGCAATTAAAGGAAAACAAAAACAGGAAAAAAAAAAATTGTGAAATGCTTCCTCTTGATGTGAGGGGGAGCCTAAGAAGCCTATAGCTGTGTGCATGACATGGGGCACACAAGGAAGGCCTGGGGAGAGGCATGAAGCCATGGAGGGGGAATAAGTTGGGAACAGGATCATTCAGGAACTGAGGCAATAAAACTTCCTGTTGCAGTCTTTAACAGGCCATAGAGAACTTACTCAGAACTTGACTGCCTTGTTCCTGATCAAGAGCTGGGAATTCTGAGGCCTATGGCCAGCAAAAGACATAACAAAACCAGAAAGGGCAAAGTAACCTCAAGAAAGGGAAATTGAAGAGCTCTAGTTAGGTCTTCCAGAGGTGCTAAACAAACACACCTTTTATCCCAACCCCAACCCTGGAAAGATAAAGCAAACTAAAAGAAAATGCACAGCAAATAGACATAATCTTGAAGATTTTTAAAGAATAAATATTTTTTTGTAATTAAACATTATGCAAACACGTGCCACGCTTGCTTTATCCATGCATATGCGCTATATACAATTTTGAAAAATACTGTGTTGTCCTCTTGTTTTAAAAGTCATATACAAAGTTTTTTTTTGTTGTTGTTTTTTGTTTGTTTAATCCTCTTGCTGCCTACCCTCTTCCCCATCCCAAGAATTTTCTTTACAAGGAGCTAATCATCATTCACTCATGACCTTGGGGTATGAGAGAAAGAGAATCAGTCTGTGTGTGTGGGTATATTTGTATGTGTAGGGGAGGAAGGGGAAGAGGTACTTTACCAAAGTACAACAAAATGGCTGGTTTGGACATGAAAAGCAGTGTCAAGGAGCTATTTGAAATTTTAACTGTACTACACTTAGGAAAAAGAAAAAGAAAAAAGGAGTCAGCTTTGAGAATGAAGCTACGTTACAAGTTAAAGTTGGAGGGCTTTTAGTGTGTCTGTCACACTTTTGTTGGCGGCCTAGAATACTGTTGTACAATGGTTTATCTACCTTTTTTATTACAATATAATTTACTTAAACTTTCCGTTAACAAAACAGAATTCTGGTACTACAGACCAGCGGTGTCAGAATAGGCTTAGTGCCTCCTTGTTTGTGTTTGTGTTTTTGTTTTGTTTTAATTGCATGAGCACTCTAGATGGTAAAGTTTTCAGAGTTCATTTTATGCAGGGCCATTCTCAGTCCTCAATGTACTCCCACAGATCTTTTTCATAGCCTTCATGCACATGCTGTAACAAAACCCTTCGTCGACTCTCACAGTATCTGTAGTCAAAGAGAAAACAAAAACAAAAACAAAAGAACTTGTCGTCAGCCTCCAATAATAAAAAAGAGGCATATACTTATTTTTAAGCACCCCTACAGTTTAACCAATCGCCTGGCATATTTTCAAGGTCTAGATGTATAGACACATCAAACAGCTTTTAATGCTATTGAGTATTTTTTTTTTAAGTTCCATTTCCAGACTCTAATTTTACAGTCATAAAGTGTTTCAAGTTCTGATGAACTTAATCCTACAGTCCTGCAGTTATGTAACTGTTTCAGAAAGGAGTAATTTCATGAGTTATTTATTCACAACAATAAAATCTATTAATTATGAAAGTTCTAAATACATTGAGGTAACTACTGTTAGTAAGGATTAAATTGTATTATATTCCAAACTCTCAGTTTCCTATTACTGTTAAAAAAAAGATATTGTCATTTACAAAATACTATTGGGGGGAAAGAGCTTCGTGTTGAAAAGTCAAAAATTTTACATCTGTAGCTTAAGAGATGGCATATCTTTGAAGTATTTTCTATTCCCATGACAGAGTATATCTCTCCTTAAGAGAGAAAGGAAAAAAAATCTAAAAATTCTAAAAAGGAAGTTTATATAGCTCACTTGTCAAGAGCCATGATCCAGGATTCCCAGGATAACACCATTCTATTCTCACTCTTTCATCATAATGAACACTTTTCCTTTTTAAGCTCTTTTTTCCTTATGGGGTAGAAACTGAATAGTTAAAAGCTGAACTGAAGTATAATCAGCCATATGATAAATGGTTGAATTTCTCCTCTATGCTTCACCAATATTACTATCTGTAACTTGTTGCCCAACAGACACAAGAAATCTGTGGGAAATATGACAGCAGCTTGGTACTGGTTATATTAAACACAATTTCACCATGTCAAATGTCACCATTAAGTACTCTAGACCAACACTACCAGAATCTTTTGCACAACAGCTATTAAAAATCTTACCTGTACTTATCTTGTACTTTTTGCTTTATATCCTGCAGAGAATCTTGGGAAATATCTCGTTCGAGGTAGCCCGAAAGCACCTCTGTGGCATTCTCTAGATCTGCTTGGTTATTCTGCAAGAAAAATAATACATAATAAATGTTGGTTTCAAACTAAAGCAAAAAGATAAACCATTTTGGCTGCTTTGCTGACTATATATCACTCTCAACACTAATACTTTCACCTATAATAATGTATTCTCTCTTTTCCAGAACAATTATTAAAATGTTAAAAAAAAAAAAAGCTAAAGATTTATCCTAGTGCCTCTTCAAGAATATTGATAACAATTTGAAAGAACTGAAAGTCTTCTGGAATCCTCTAAATCTGAGAGCTATTCTTTATTAAAAACTCAAAAAGGAAACTTGAATAAAAACAGAACCCCATTTTTGCTCACATTTTGCTGCAGCAATACCTTATCAGATATAGCTGATACACTATTTCAAAAAAAACAATGTATGGAAAATTAAAATTTTACTATCCTTTGGAACTTTAGCCAGTTCAATACATGTTTCTCATCTAAATTCCCATCTGCTAGTCAGTATTATTGTCTATATATTTATGGGCATCAATGTTTCATGCATCAATTTAATTTTTAAAAAATATTTTTTTAGTTGTAGTTGGACATAATACCTTTATTTCACTTATTTATTTTTATGTGGTACTGAGGATCAAACCCAGGGTCTTGCACATAAGGTGCGAGCGCTCTACCGCTGAGCCACAACTCCAGCCCCTCAAACATCAGTTTTAAATACACTCACTCTCTCTTTCTCTCTCAATATATATATATTTCGTTGTAGATAAATAAATAAATGTATTTATTTTTATGTGGTGCTGGTGCTCAAACCCAGTGCCTCGAATGTGCTAGGGAAGAACTCTACCACTGAGATACAACTCCAGCCCCAAACTCTATACATTTTATATATGAAAGAGACCAAGTATGGGCTGGAAATAGAGCTCAGTTGGTAGAGTGCTTGCCTCACATGTACAAGGTCCTGGGTTCAATCCCCAGCACAAAAAAAAACAAAACAAAAAAACAAACAAAAAAACCCCAAGGAATTAGTCCTACAACACAAGGTGGTTTTTTTCCACATCCAGGAGCCATCCCTACCTCAAAGATAATGGACTGGTTATTCTTTTTGAGGTAGAAAGCGAAGACATAAGTGTACATGAGTGTGGCACGACACTGGCAGAGGACATCAACTGCTTTCTTCAGGAACTGCACCTCAATCCAGGACATGTTGTGCTGTTGCATCTCCTCCATTTTCTGCTTCACTTGAGCATATAGTTTGTGCTCAAAGCGTAGACTCTGCATGTGGTTCATATAGCGATTACAGTAGAACAGGTACCTCTGAAGAGCTGCTCTAGATCGCTGACCCATTAAGAAAAACAAAGGTTACATAATTACTATGCACAAAAGTTGGTATCAAACATTCTAGTACTCCCACATAATGGGTATATAGCCAAAAGAACTAAAATCATGTTGAAGGGATATCTATACTTCCATGTTTTTTCAGCATTGTTCTAAAGAAGAGCCAAGATATGGAACCAATTAAAATGTCTATTAATGAATGAATGGACAGAGAATATGTGGTATACACATATACAATGGAATATTACTCAATCTTAAAAAAAAAAAGAAATCCTGTTTTTTTTTGGTGACAAAGAGGATCAACTTGGAGAACATTATACTAAAGCTTGGAACAGAAAGACAATGCTGTATGATCTTACTTAGTTTAACTCACACAGAGCATAAAGATAAATGATAAATGGTTAGCTGAGCAGGGGAGAAAAGGGGAATTATTGATCAATGGGTACAATTTCAGACAAGAGGACTAAGTTTTGATATCTATTGCACAGGAAGAAAGACTATAGTCTCTCTGCTATTTAGTATGCAATGAATGTTTAAAATAAAATAATTAGTCTCTCAGCACTCAGAAGTCACATCTGTGGTCAGTAACTGCCAAATTGGACAGTAGTAATAAAGAACATTTTCATTATTACAAAAAAAGTTCTATTGGATGGTACTGTTCTATAGCATGAAATAAGATGTAAAACTATCAAGAAGCAGATTTATTTTTTCTTTGCAGTGCTGGGGATGAAAACCAAGGATATGGGTTTGATTCCCAGTATGGGGGTTGGGCAGGGGTAGTAGTACAGTAACACTAAATTTTAAAAACACTGCCATGCAGCAGCCCATCAACAGTCATTTCAGCAAACAACATATTTGCCAAATAAATCTTGAGTCTCACTGATTTTGTAGTTTTCTTAGTTTGTTTAGTTTGCATAGCTGCTAACAGCATAAGAGTTTACAATTGGGATAATGCTTTTTAAGTAATTTTCTACTGAATATATTTAAGGTAATATTTAAACAAAATTCTACTGAATATATTTAAATCAATATTGAAATTTTAAAATATTCTTGCCCTTTTAAAGGACCTAAATATTGTGAAACTCTAAGAACAACAAGATAATAAAAACAAAAAAATAAGTGACATAATTGCCTACAAATAGCAGAAGGGCCATTTAACAATTGTTCCCTACTCTCCGTTCTGTTTGACACTAGTAATACCTGAAATTATGTAACTTGACTAATTAAAAGAAAGCCAAAAAATAATGTCCTTGACAGCATTTTTGGACAGGATTCCCTTTCTAAATATAAACAGATACCCTATATTTATTGGAGTGTTTATCCACAATTTGGTGGAGGGAGATTAGGACTTGAACCCAGGGATTCCCTTTTCACTAAGCTACATCCCCAACCCTTTTAATTTTTTTAAAATTTTGAGATAGAGTCTTGCTAAGTTGCTTAGAGCCTCACTACGTTGCTGGAATTAAAGGCACACACCACCACAACTGGCTTCCACAAATCCCTCATTATTGAAAACTTCTGCTGCATTATTCCCCAATGAATATACAATGTGCATTCCTATTCAAATATTATCCTATTATAAATGTACTTACCTCCTGTGCATCTCTTGCTGCCTTTGCATCATCCTCATTATAGCGGTTACAGTTGTACCTTAAAGTAAAGTAAGAGGATTCTATAAAGCCATAAGTCAATGAAAAGGAAATCAATCATAGAATTTTCTTTACTTCTTTTTTACAGAATTTAACCTTTATTTGTTTTTGTGTGGTGCTGAGGATCAAACCCAGTGCCTCACCCATGCTAGGCAAGGGCTCTACCACTGAGCTACAATCTCAGCCCTGAACCACAGAATTTTAACCCAGATTTAGAGATTATCTAGAATCAACATTCTCACTTACAACGGATGAACTAAGAAGTTATTATAGGGTTCTATATTATTATAATAAAATTATTGGGCTACTCCAGGGTACTGGAAGGGTTGTTTAATGTCATACACTCCTACTGTTTGAATTCTCTGTATAATATTCAATCCATTCTCTACTCAGTAATAGGGAACTCTCTTCATCTTCTGAGGCAGTGCGTTCCAAATCAGCTTATTCATTCATTTATTTTATTTACTTTTTGGTTGTAACTGGACACAATATCTTTATTTTATTTATTGATTTATTTTTATGTGGTGCTGAGGATCGAACCCAGGGCCTCCCACATGCTAGGCTAGCGCTCTACTGCTGAGCCACAATCCCAGCCCCTCAGCTTATTTATGATTATTAGAAAACACTGTTATCTAGAAGTTCCATTTACTATAAGTAATTTCTAACTCCATTCTTATCTCCTAGGCCACCTGTTATTCAAGCCTAATACTTCTGATTTTCTAGAGTTATTCACCTTATTTGCCAATAATTGGCACCCTACTCTGTAACAGACGCTGTGCTATGTGCTTTACATGCTATTATACTTAATTACTATATATCTTACTAAAGTAAGTACTTACTAAATATCATGCATTTGGCTAAGGAGTGTAAATGCACTATCACATTTAATCCCCTCAAAACACCTTATAAAATATGTATTTCTGTCTTTATTGAACAGATAAAGGATTGTATTGGGTGCGGGGGGGGGGGAGGGAATACTGGGGATTGAATCCATAGGCACTTTACCACTGACCTACATCCCCAACCCTTTTTATTTTTCACTTTGAGACAACGTTTCACACTAAGTTGCTTGGAGACTCCCTTAATTGCTGAGACTGGCCTCAAACTTGTGATCTTCCTGCCTCAGCCTCCCAAGTTAATGAGATCACAGATCTGTGTCATCATATTTGGCTTAAGAATTACATTTAGAGAATAAGCAATACACACAAAGAGGAATTTCAGAGCTGGTAATTAAAACTTACACTTGCCTGTCAATGAATACTCATGGTCTTATCCAATGAGTATATTACCCACAAGCTAATGTCCTGTCTTTAGAATCTTTTTTACTCCAAAGGGAGTTTTTTGTTTGTTTGTTTAAAAAAAAAAAAAAAAAAAAAAACAGCCCTCCCTCCTAAAGGAAGAGTTTTTAATTTAAATCATGTGAAATTGGAGCTGTTGTTCCAGCTTATCTAGATTTGCAGGGGAGGTGTGGAGAGGGATGTGCATGGGACTGAACCCAGGGCTTTGCATATGCTACAACCACTGAGTTATGCTCCCAGTTCCTTAAGGATATAACATTCAATGTATTTTCAATCTCTCTCTCAAGTTAGTCCAAAATGTATATGATTCATCTATTCAAGAAAATTACCAATAAAATTGATCAGAAAAGCAGTATACACTTAATATATTTGGGAGGAGGGGGAGACAAGAAAATCTCAAATATTCCTGCCTATATTCACTGATTTGGCCCAAAACTTCTCAATCCACAATTAAATACCTTGCTGAAGCCTAGAAAACATCCTATATACTCTATCCTCCTATTTAAATCATTTTATACTAGAATTTAACATGAGACAAAAAATAAGTTATGTAGTTCAAGTGTAGTTTTTTGGAATCAAATCACAAATATTAGAAACCTGGAATAACATTTTATCTGCTCCCAGTCTTTGATATATCTGTATTTTCCACAATTACTCAGAAATAATCAACTGAGCTCATCTTCAAGTTTCTGAAGTAACCCAGACAACAATTCACTGAAGTCAGGAGATTTAATATTGATTTTCCCATCTTGATCATAATCCTTGCCAGAGAATGAACACTCTATTCAACTTAACCTAAAGATAACTTCCCTTACCTATACTGGTCAACTATTAATATCTTGTCTATATACTGCATATTTTAAAAAGTAACTTAAAAAATATTTATTAGCCTCATCCCATTCTGGGCTTCACCCTGCCACCATGGTATAGATTTTAAGGCTAAGAAAACAAATAATTAGCATTCATCTATATTTCTAACTCAAATAACTTTGGAATGATATATTGACAATTCTGAGGCACTTAAAGATGTAAATAGGAAATAAAATATCATGATTCATTTGCAATGTCAGCATGCATAAAGGTAAGGCACAGCAGCATTTTCTGACACCTGTCAAGGTCATTATTCATTCTTCTATATCTAACATCTGTTTTATACCCTTTTCAGGTTTCAGTACAACATATTTTAAATCTGAGTATGATTAGAGATGATATTACACAAACATATACATCTTTAATAACTATTCTTCTTTACCCTCTCCCCTAATCAAGAGGCTTTTTTGTTTGTTTTTCTCACAAGAGCACAAGATAAATTTACTTTCTAAGAACAATCTAATCCTCCAATATGCCTTCTCAAAATTTAGATAACCTGACTGGCTATACCTGGAATACCCTTTTCTTGGCTCTAGCAAATGCACATTTTCTTTACCCTCCCCAAATGATCCAAAGTCTTTAGAATACTGCAGCTCGCTCGCTCGCTCTTTTAAACAACCCAATTTCTTTTTTTAAATTTTATTTATTTTTATGTGGTGCTGAGGATCAAGCCCAGTGCCTTATTCACTCAAGGTTGAGTACTCTACCACTCAGTCACAACCCCAGCCCCAGAATACTTCATCTCTAATCATACACTTTTCACATAGTATATTGTTCACTTATATTACAATGACAAATGTCATTGTCTACGTTCACATCTTCTTTACTTTTTCTTGAACCTGCATCCGCTTTCCTCCCATCTACTCTCTACAAAGTGCAAAAATTATGAGATAATGTATATAAAGTGTTTTTTGTTGGTTTTTTTGGTGTGTGTGTGTGTGTTGCTAGCAATTGAACCCAGGGCCTTGTGCATGCAACGCAGGCACTTTACCAATTGAGCTATATCCCCAGCCTTTGTAAAGCTCTTAATACAGAACCTTCTCATCATCTAAAAAACAGTTTGAACTCTGTCACTCCCACTTAAAATCCTGTGATAACACCCAAATTACTAGGCTCCAGTGTCTTTCTGAACTCTTTTCCTATTCCCCACAGGGTCACAGACTCAAAAAGGCAAATAACAAAAATTAGTAGTGGGCCCTTTGACATTTTCACTATTGTCAAAAAAGTGCTAGCTCCCATTTTTCTCAAAACTCAAGGCATCCACAGTCTAACTTTGACATTTCCAAATAAAAACTATTAATTGAGTAAAAGTATGTTTTACTTACTAAATGAAGAACAATGGTGCCATGTCACAAAGTTAGCACACTACATAAAAAAATTATGCACATGTGGATTCGTCCAATTGTAGATTTAAAAAATATATATTTTTGGGGAAAATGCGTCTTTACTAAATATGTACAATTTTTTTTTACTTGTCATTGTTCCCTAAACAATAAAACAACTATTTGTAGCATTTTCATTGCATTAGGCAATATATTATCATCTACAGATGATTTAAAATATATAGGATGACGTGTGCAGGTTTACACAAATACTGTAATATTTTTTATAAAGCACGTGAGCATTCCCAAATATGGATATCCACACAAGGGGTCCTGGAACCCAATTCCCAGAGGATGCCAAGGAACAGTTATATATGTAACTAGGGTTATTATCCTTCAGTCTTGGGGGGGGGGGGGAGAAACATATCAAACTGAAAGGCAAAGACACTTAAAAAGACTGCTTCCCAGTCTTAGTTGCTTGTTACCAAAGAGAAACATAGGTCTTAAGAAAATAAAAACATGGACTTTTGCTGGGCAATGCTACAATTTTTACAAGTTTTATATAAAATATTGGTCTAATGATGTCTGGGTTGGGTTTTCTCAAAAGCTCTTACTTCCAATTATTGCCTAGAGAGACATTTGAGGTGATGAAAAAGTCACATCCTTTTCACATCATTCTCCCTTGTTCATGCTGCTCCTTTTGCCCTAAATGTATTTCCTACTACTTTTTCAATTAATGAGCTCTCAGCTCTTTTAAAAAGTTCATCTCAGCTGTTACCACCTCTGTGAAACATGCTCTGTGGATATTTTGTATATCCTTCTCTTGTGACACAGCTCACATATCAACTTTTGTTTATTTAGTTCCCAGGACAGTAAACTTGTTGAGATAGAAATATTACTCAAAAATCCGTGGCACATATCACATACTTATGTGAATATATTCTTCCATTTCCCCCAACCTACCAGGCAGATCCATGTGGTTCCCAAGGGCCAAGACACACCCAGCAAAACTCTGCTTTACAGTTCTGGTTACGACAGACCATGTGATTACAACCGCCATCCTTCTCAATTGTGACATGGCATTTGGGACATTCCTATGAAGAGAAACTATAAAGTTGGTGTCAATGCTACACTAGATTGTATTACTAACACTGAGGAGAAGCCTTGGTTTACTTATTGTAGTTAATACATGTAAAGCACTTAGAACAGTGTCAAACATTTAATAAGTACTATTAAAAATGAGTTGAATCAATCACTACTACAGAGTTTAAAATACACAATAATTTATGGACACCGCCTACACACAAACCAAGTGCTATCGATTGAACCAGGGGCAGACTACTACTAAGTTACACCTCTAGCCCTTTTCATTTTGAGACAGGGTCTCACTAAGTTGCCCATGCTAGCCTCAAACTTGTGATCCTTCCTCAACCTCCTATGTTGCTGTGATTTATAGGCATGTGCCATCACACCCAATCTACAAATTTATTAAGGGGGGGTTGAGCAACAAAAACACGTTAAGTACTTTCAATCAGATACATAGTAACCGTTTTATAAAAAGTAAAATATTTTTTCCTGTAAATATATTCTCTACTATCATCTAGAAATAATTATAGAGTATTTTCTTCCTTTATCCTATATCCCATGCACTGTTCTCAGTGCTTTGTATGCATCAACTCATAATCCTTATGGTAGTATTATTTTTATTTTCATTTGTGAGATGAATAAACTATGGAAGAAAAAAACAATAAAGAACCTAGTTCTTGGTCACAAAGGTAGGAAATGATAAAGTCAGGATCCATACCCAAGTAATCTGTCCTTGCCTGACAGGCAAGCAGGAAATTAGGACATGATTATTAATATAAAGTCATAATATGTTTCCCAACTTTCTTTGGCCAAATACCTATATTTTAAATTCTTTACAGTGTGACTCATTAACTATGCTACAGAGAAAAATATGAGATTGTTTTCTCCAAGTTTGTTTCATTTTCTTAGTCTCTGGTAAACTGAAGTTTCAGATCTATCAGGCCTTTTTTGTTTTTGAAAAATCTTGGGGGGGGATATCAATCTTACATTATATTAAACCAAGAAGGTGGAAAATTTGTATCTTTTTGTTGTTGTATTTGCATATTTATGTCTGATGACTTTAGCCTCCTTAAGAGAGGGCTGATCTATTTGTACAATTTGACCCTTTTCAAACAGACTGCACACTGCTGACAAACTATACTAATTTTAAACAGGCCAATATGGCAATTTTTTATTATATATATTTTAGATCAAAATTTTTAAATCATTCACTTAAGAAATTTTACATATTGCCAAAGAAGCAAATTTTAGGCATAAAATAGGTTTCATTCTACATTTCTTAAACAAAGAGTATTAAGCCTTCAAAATATTAAAGATACCAAGAAAGTCTGCAAGTATACCCAAGAAGCTAATAACAATACTTAAACCTTGAAATTTCTTAAACCTCTCGAGAGAAAAAAAAATTTTCAGTTTTACTGCAGAACTACTGACTGATTAAATTTGTTATTTATCACAAACTGACATTCTTCTTTGGTAATCTGCCTTATAGCCAAACCAAACATATCCAAGCCTATACTACCTATTTTAAAGATCTTGGAGGCCAACAGTATCTCTCTAAATATAGAAAGAAGATGAATATTATTTAAACAAACAACTTAGTGAAAATATAGCTGCCCTCTTCTTCTAAACATTAACATAGGACACATTAAAGAATTTGGAACATTAACGAACATTTCTGATGGGTAACCCTTCAATTTTCAAAAAGAAATGCTTAACTAGGAAATTCTTTTAAAATAGCAATAGAAGTTACTACCTTCATGACATCACAGTACATTTAACAAGATTTCCTTCAGTGATGTGTAGTATGCTTACCATGATGGTTGGAAAGAACATAAAAATATTGATTGCTGCCATATATATCGTAAAGATTCAGGAAACTGTTTTGTGTGACAAATCTCACTGTTTTAACTGCTAACGCTTTCTAGGAAAGAGAAACATATACTTGCACCATACATGTAAGTATAAGCAAGGTATATCCTTAAAAGTATGTGTTGACCGCAGATTAGAAAAAGTACAAAGCTATAACTAGTACTGGTCAAATAACTCAAGTTTTTATTTTTTAAGTGGAAAATTTTATTTTTCATTTTTAGTTGCTGATAGACCTTTATTTATTTATATGCGGTGCCGAGAACTGAACCCAGTTCCTCACACAAGCCAGACAAGTGTGCTACCACTGAGCCACAGTCACATCCCAAATAACTCGGGTTCTTTAAAGCACCATCTTTATATGTGAAACAGACAATGAATCAATCACCTATCATTCATTACCCAAGTCGTTTACTATACAGACAAGACTGATTTAAATAGGATATAGAATTTTTTTAAAAAAATTTATAAATATTTTTAGTTGTTGATGGACCTTTATTTTATTCTTTTATTTCTATGTGGTGCTGAGAATCTAACTCAGTGCCTCACATATGCTAGGCAAGCAAGCAAGCACTCTACCACTAAGCCACAACCCCAGCCCAAGAATGAATCTTGGTACAATTTTTCTATTAAGAAACTAGCTGGAGACTGGGACTGTAGCTCAATGGTAGAGCGCCTGCCTTGCACGTGTGAGGCACTGGGTTCGATCCTCAGCACTACATGAAAATAAATAAAGATATCTGTCCATCTACAACTAAAAAAAAAAGAAAAAGAAAAAAGAAAGAAACTTGCTGTGTACACAGTTTGGATACAAAAGTGAATTTATTATTTAAAAGAGAAATGCTAAAAATTAATTTCATTTTTAAGATATTGGATCTGGTGTTAAGAAAGTGGTTTAGGGTAATAAAGAGATGAATTTTGAAACTAGAATCATGAGCAATGTACTTAAAAGAAAAAAAAAGGATAGACTGAACTATATATCCCCTTTCCCCACCGCTGTTTTTGTTTTGTTTTGTTTTTAATTGATACAGGGTTTTGCTATGTTACCCAGGCTAACCTCAAACTTGGTGATCCTCTTGTCTCGATCCTCCCAAGTAGCTAAGATTACAGGTATACACCTGGTTATTCAGAGGCAAATCTTTTGCTAAGTCATAATTCACAAATTTAACATGAAGTAGACTTGGAGAGACTGTTTTATTAACCTGGTTCAATTATATAATAAAAACTTAACGGTTCCTCAATTACTGTGCTCAAATCCTACCCCTAATTAATAAGTTCTAAAAAGTAAAACTGAAGATTTAAGGAAGAAATGTAAATTAGTCTAATAAGACTCAAGCTAGGTAGAGTGCACTTCTACAATACACCTATATATTAAAGGCCAATCAAGAATAAATTCCAGACAAGAAAAATTCACAGCTTTTTCTTCAAAGGAAACAAATGCTTTTACAATAAAAGAAAACTAAAGCTGAGTAACTCTGCACACTCAGTATAATACTCAATACTTTAAAATAAAGGGAAATTATTAATAGATAATTATTCTTTCGGGGGGTGCTTGATGGAGATGAAAAAGTGTCACAAGGCTAATTTATAGGTAAATTTATAGCTTTTGCCAATGCTGACACACGTATCCTTATCACTTTCATTACGAACAGTTACTGAAGAAAAAGCACCAACCTTTGTGTTGGCTGCAATCCAATTGGAGGTTTCACTGTCATCATCACACTTTTTAATCCACTTCTTTAACCACTGTTTGAAAACAATAACTGTTAGAGTATTTAAAAAGGTTTAAAAAAAGCAGAGAAAATTCCTTGGCACTTAATTAAAGCCAAGCTTAAATGTAAAAGTCAAAGAACAAGATTATCACTAGACTTACTTTCTCCTGAACCAGGGAAATCTTATAACTGTAATATCTGCTGTACATAAAAATCAACCAAAGGAGGATTTTTCTCTAGCACCAACTGAGTGGGAAGTATAGAGCTTAAAGAAAAGTTGAGCTACAAGGAGTGCTATTCCCCTAATAACAAATCCTACTGAAAGGTGCCTTAACCACGACTAAGGTAATAATAATGAACTACCTAGATTTTTCCCCAAGGAATATTCCCTGAATACTTGCAATAATCACCTGAAATAAAAATTTCACAAAAAATTTTTCTATTTATCAACAGATAACAAAGTCACTAGCTGTATTTCCAGCAAGGCTTAAAAACACATCATCCCATTATTTAAAAATGAAAATGTCTAACTCACCTTACATTTAACAGGATCATGCCAATTTTCTCCACAGTTAAAGCTGTTAGGTGACACAAAGAATTAAAAGAAGGAATTCCTACTAACCCTTACCCTTACAAACCACCCACCCATTTGATGCTTTTTAGTTTCAATTTCTAGTCACTGGCAAACAAAAGGGCAGGGCAGGGACCATGATTTTATAGCAAATTACTTGGGAATTCAGTATGTATCAGGACTATCCTGTAGTGATTACGCAAACATTTGTGAAATGAAGAACAACCAGACAATGCATTGATGACAATTTCTTAACAGTTGTTGCTAGGGTACTGCAGACTGTACTGAGAAGGTTCAACTAATGCTTTATCAGAATGCATTCAATTTTTCATAGCACCCCAAATGAAGAGTCTGACTTGTATAGGTCAATTATATTCAGGAAACGAACAAGCACATCTTTGTGTAACTTTAGATATCATCAATATCACAGAAAAAGAAATGGTACCTGGCCAAGGTATAAAATATGTCTAAATATTCTCTAAGTGTAAACACAGACACACACACACACACACACACACACACACACAAAAGATTAAATTTTGGAACTAGAATCATGAGCAATGTACTTCAAAACAAAAAGTCAAGAGCCTCATTCAGCCACCCCTCCCTTTTCTTTTTTTAAATTTTGAGACAGGTCTCACTAAGTTGCCAAGGCAATTATTTTTTTTAATATTTATTTTATAGTTGGACACAATACCTTAACTTTATTTATTTTTTTATATGGTGCTGAGGATTGAACTCAGGGCCTCACATGTGCTAGGCAAGCACTCTACTGCTGAGCCACAACCCCAGCCTCCCCGGGTAATTATTAAGTTCACTGATAATTCATTTCTGCTTTCTAGGCTAATGGTACATGCAGCATTTATGAAATAAGGGTAGAGAGGTTATAATAAATTAAGAACAAACACAAAAGTTTATGAAAAACTAACCACAATATGGTTGATTAATGAGCTAATCCTATAATTTAGGAATACCAAAAATTCTTTTTGTCAAACAAAGGAATTTATCTATGTTGGGTATACCGGCAGTTTTGAGAATATTTATCATTAATGCATAAATCTAATTCTATATCTGTATTGAGGAAAAAAAGGTAAGGAATACCAACAAAATGCCTATTTCCCAACTCCAGAGGCTCTTGGTTTGATTGCCTTTTCATTCCTACTAAAGAGCTTCATAGGAATGGAAGATCATCTAGCCTTCCTTCTTGCTATGGTTCAAATGTTCGGCTGACTACGTCATGAGGGCTGCTGTTATGAACAGATCTGGTGCCCTTATAAAAGGTCTCAAAGAGATACAAGGACACATCAAGAAAGGTACCATCTATGAATAGACAGTGGGCCCTCACTGCACAACAAATCTGCTGGCATCTTGATCTGGGATTTCCCAGCCTGCATAACTATGAGAACTAAATTTCTGTTGTTTATAAGCTCACCCAGTTTATGGCATTTTGTCACAGCAGCCTGAACAGATTAAGACATAAAATTAGTACTGTGAAGTGGGGTTGCCATTTTATCAAAACCCTAAATGTAGAAGCTTATTTGGAAGTGGGTAAGGGGTAGTGTTTGGAGGTACATGCTAGAAAGAAAAACATTACTACGGGTGATTTTGGTAAGGTCTCAGAAAGAAGTATAAAAAAAGCTTCACCCATATCAGAAACACCTAAGTGGCAGTGAATAGAACCACCAAATTCACCTGAAATTTTTCATTATATGAATAATATTAATACTTGTCTGGGTGAAGAAAAAGTTTAAAAAGACTTGTGTAATGTGTTTGCTAAACTGGGATAATCTCTGAAAGTATAGTAAGAGCCTTACAGAACTCAACCTGATTAAAAAAACAAAAAACAAAAAACAAAAACCCCAAAATGAAAAGAACTAAAGTTCCTTGTTCAGATCTCTAAGTTTGCTCCCAGATAAGTTACAGTGGGGCATAAAGGAAAATGAGAGTATAACTGCATTTTTATCCCATGAAAAACAGTCACAGGGTTACAACATCAAAGACAGAGAAAACATTATTCAAGATGTGAGTTTTCCATTTAATTATATATATATATTATTTTTTTTAGATGTAGATGGACACTATACCTTTATTTTATTCATTTATTTTTATGTCGTGTTGACAATGGAATCCAGTGCCTCACATGTTAGGCAAGCACTCTACCACTGAGCCACAACTATAACCCTCCATGTAATTCTTACTTATAAATAAATAAATGCATACATACATACATACATACACACACACACACACACCCTATTTTTAACCAACATCACTCACTTCCCTGACTATAGTAAATTTTTTCCTACTATTTTATAACCAAGAATTTAAAAAAAAAGCTACATGCACTACCTTCCATTTAGAAAATCATTTGCTTACCAAAATTGACGCCCACATTTGCAGCGAACAGGTTTAGCATCAGGATATTGAACTTTAACAACATGGTGGCAATCTGGGGCAGGACACCACTTTAACAGTCGATTGCACTAAAAGGCAAGTAAGAAAACTTAAAATGACAGCAAATTAAATAATCATGCAAAATCTCCTCACACACTTAGTGTGAGGAGTAAAGGACAGATGATGATAGAAGCATACAAAAGCCTGCTATGGTCTTCCATGGCAAACTTACAGATACACTGTTTGCTCAAGATTATTAATCCCTTAAAGACCTAGTTTTATGAAATACACAAACTACCTTCTTATTTTATTAGCAAAATCCCGTGAGAAATTTTTAAAGTATTCATTATGTGATTATAAAAAATAGTTTACTTATGATTGTACTCCAGGGAAATTTTCATGAAATACAGGAAAACTATGTGTTTCTACTTGGGGAAGGTGTTTAGAGGCTACAATAAAGTTTAAGATAAGTTAATGCATATATATGTGATTCCTCCTAAAGTTAGTTACTAAACAACAGGGCAATCTGCATTTTGGTTCTTCAAAAGGAAATATACCTTCTTCTTTTATTTATAAATTTGGTAGTGCTGGGGATCAAACCCAGTGCCTCACAGTCTAGAGAAGTGTTCTGCCACTAAGCCATACCTCAGCCTGGAAATATAACATTAAAAGTATTTTTGTTAGGGAAAAAAAAACATGGCTCAAAGCAATATTATGCACTCGATTCCAAACTACACTGAAGCTGGGCAAGATGGGGCATATGCCTGTAATTCTAGCTACTCAAGAGACTTCAGACAGAAAGGTGCCATTTTCCAATTTACCCCCTAACAGAAATAATAACTATTTTCTAGAAGTCCATTAATGCTTTCTGTAGCAAATATTCAATCCTGCAATGGGAGCAGAAAAGCAGTCATAAAACAAATGGCTATAGACTTGTACTAATAAATCTTTATTTACAAACACAGGCAGGCCATAATTCACCAACCTCTGCTCTAAGAAAGAAATATAACAAAAGAAAATACTGTTCATTATTATTAAATTTAGTTAATGGGACCTAAAACAAACAAAGAAATAGTGTTAGAATCCCAAGAAAGATTAAACATGACATAATTAATCATCTACTGCAATTCTCTATAAGGGATAAAGAATATTGTAAAAATTTTAATATCAAAGCTCAAGATCTATGAAGAGAGATCTACTTATTGGATTGTCATACCCTTTGAGAATAAAGATGCTTGGCTGTAGTTTGTAAATATGGTATAAGTGCTTCTTATTTTCAACAGGTTGTATGTTTGCTTGTTTTCTTGGGTGCTGTGGATCAAACCAAGCACCTCACCAATGAGAGGTATATACTCTGAGCTACATCCCCACACTGTAAGTTTATAAAAGTAATATCTATTTTAATAAACAGAATTCTGATTTCACTTACCTCTACAAAGCTATTTGTTATTAAATGCTGATACTTTAATTTAACTTTTGAATCTGTTATCAGGCGCCTAAAACCAAGAATAAAAACAATTAGGAAGTTTTTAGCCAATAGTATTTTCCATATTTATAACATATAATTTAAAAAACTGTTTATGCTATGGTAATCAAAACTGTTCTACATGGAAGACACAACTACACTTACGCTATCAACAAATCTAACTCATCAAAATAATTTCCAACTTTCTACAGTTTAGACAGTTTCTTCATGTTTCTTATAGTCTAAATATTCTGTGTCTGTTTACACCAAGTGTGTATTATAAACCTAAAGACTTACCAACTATTGCCAAGTTAAGCTCACTTCAGAGACTTCTGACTCTGATATTATCATGCCTTAACACAGCAATTCTTTTATTTATTTTCCTTTAGATCCCCACTCAAACTGGTGTGTGAAATAAGGCAGATGTTGAGAGGAATGTTAAAGAATGAATTTGCATTTTGTGATACCTAAACTTTATATAATTTTTAGGGTCTTTTTCATTTGGGAATTCTTTGCCATTTATTGGAAATATTTATTGACTGCAAACTGGCTTCCTTTGTCCACCCTGAACACTTTATAATTCACAACAATTTCTATGACGCACAACAGAAGCTCATAAAAGTGAGAAACCCTGAAACTTTAGTTTACTTTTATGGTAAAGACCCTTCTGAATGTGTTATAAGAAAATGATGTTGAAGTGGGATGGGAAAAGGGAATGGGGAAGATAACTACTGATGAGGCCAAGAAGAACTATATTGAACATGCATGGGGTCTACCCCACTGAAGTTTTTTAAATGAACAGGACAAGTCTGGTTTCACCTAATTCTTAAGCTTCATATCTTTTTACTCTGCCCTTCCATAAGATCGTACCCTGTACTATGCCATTTTTTAAAAACTCCTGTCATCTATATTCTTATATTTCCTGAAAATTAGCAAGTACAACTCTTCCTCAGAGGTATCGCTTAAGACTGCCTCCCTTGGAAATGAAAGCAGAGAATGTCATGATGGGGTTCTGAAGTGGGACAGACCATGTTTAAGTAATGACTTCATAACACCCTAGCTATGAATTGAGGATTAGTCCTTTGAACTCTTTATGTTCCTCAGCTTACTAAATCTGCAAAACAGCAGAAATGAAAAGTTGTGAGTGCCTGGCAAATACTAAGCACCAAATAAATACTAATTGCTATATTATATTACTTCAATCAGTTGAAATATATTATTATTCACTCAAGGAAGCCTTTCCTGATAATTCACCACAGCAGTCTAGATGTAGAACCCCTCTTAGTTTGCCTGGCATCTAAAACCTCTCCTTTATAGAACTCATTGTAATTTTAGACAGTTAACTATATAATCACTTGCTTGATATCTTCCTGCTTACTTATAACCCCAAAATAAGTTCCACGAAAGGATCTTCTGTATTCAGCATGGTGCTTGGCCTGAAGAACATGTTCATTTCTTAAATGGGCAAATTACATTCACAGAGGTTGAAGATGAGATCTAAAAATAATTAATATATTTGATAGTTCCTCACACAGTTAAACACAGCATTACCATATGACCCAGCAACTCCTCTCCTAGGTATATATCAGGCCTTTATCAAAAAGGTGCAAACAACGTTCATATTTTCATACAACAAAAATATTCTCAAAAAAGTGGAAATATCCACATAATGGAACATTATTCACCAATAAAAATAAATGAAAAATTAATTCATATTTCAACACGGATGAACCTTGAAAACACTAGCTGAAAGAAGCAAGTCACCAAAGACCACATATTATGATTCCATTTTTATGAAATGTCCAGAATAGACAAATGCAGAGAGACAGAAAAGTGGTGGCTAGGAGAGGAGAGAATGGTTGAACGAATATTTTCCATGAAAATATTCCGGAATTAGGTAGTGATGATGGTTCTACCACATTACTAAAGCACTAAAAGTCCCTTAATTATATAACTTAAAATAATTAAAATGGTGACAATGTCACATGAATCTCACATCAATAAAAATAAAGGAAACATGAAACCCGAAGTTAGATGCTCAGGTTTGCAAAGAAACATAATGTACATCTATCATTCACTATTTCTCTGAACTAAAAAATTCCAATGATTTTCTCTTTTGGTGTTGGGGATTGAAGCCAGGGAAACATTACCACTGAGCTAAATCCCAGTCCTTTTTATTTTTTGAGACAGGATCTCACTAAATTGCTTAAGATCTCTCTAAGCAATTGAGAGTATAGATGTGTGCCACTGCACCTGGCTTCTAATGATTTTTTACAGCTGACCCTAGCTTAAGAAGTAGCTGTCTAAATCTGGCACATGGCCACAACTAGGATCTGTTAGTGTAAAGGTATGTTGATGGTGAAGACAATGATCTGTTTTACTTATGTTGAATTATAGTGCCAATACTCCTAATGGAATGCAGCTAACAGGTAAACAAAATAATCTCTAGTGAAAACTTATTATCTAGAAGAGCCAAAAGGGTCTACAAAGAAACTACTAGAGCTAATAAATGAATTCAGCAAAGTGGCAGGATATAAAATCAACATGCATAAATCAAAGGCATTCCTGTATATCAGCGACAAATCTTCTGAAATGGAAATGAGGAAAACCACCCCATTCACAATATCCTCAAAAAAAATAATAAAATACTTGGGAATCAACCTAACAAAAGAGGTGAAAGATTTATACAATGAAAACTACAGAACCCTAAAGAGAGAAATAGAAGAAGATCTTAGAAGGTGGAAAAATATAGCCTGTTCATGGATAGGCAGAACTAACATCATCAAAATGGCGATACTACCAAAAGTTCTCTATAGGTTCAATGCAATGCCAATCAAAATCCCAATGGCATTTCTTGTAGAAATAGATAAAGCAATCATGAAATTCATATGGAAAAAAAAAAAGACCCAGAATAGCAAAAGCAATTCTAAACAGGAAGTGTCAATCAGGAGGTAGAGCGATATCAGATTTCAAACTGTACTACAGAGCAATAGTAACAAAAACAGCATGGTACTGGTACCAAAACAGGTGGGTGGACCAATAGTACAGAATAGAGGACACAGAGACCAATCCACAAATCTACAACTATCTTATATTTGATAAAGGGGCATGCAATGGAGGAACGATAGCAACTTCAACAAATAGTGCTGGGAAAATAGTGCTGGAAATCCTTATGCAACAAAATGAAACTGAATCCCTTTCTCTCACCATGCACAAAAGTTAACTCAAAATGGATCAAGGAGCTTGATATCAGAGACTCTGCGTCTGATAGAAGAAAAAGTTGGCTCCGATCTACATATTGTGGGGTCAGGCTCCAAATTCCTTAATAGGACACCCATAGCACAAGAGTTAAAAACAAGAATCAACAAATGGGACTTACTCAAACTAAAAAGTTTTTTCTCAGAAAGAGAAACAATAAGAGAGGTAAATAGGGAGCCTACAACCTGGGAACAAATTTTTACTCCTCACACTTCAGATAGAGTCCTAATATCCAGAGTATACAAAGAACTCAAAAAATTAAACAATAAGAAAACAAATAACCCAATCAACAAATGGGCCAAGGACCTGAACAGAGGAGGACAATCAACCAATCAACAAGTACATGAAAAAATGCTCACCATCTCTAGCAGTCAGAGAAATGCAAATCAAAACCACCCTAAGATACCATCTCACTCCAGTAAGATTGGCAGCCATTATGAAGTCAAACAACAACAAGTGTTGGCAAGGATGTGGGGAAAAGGGCACACTTGTACATTGCTGGTGGGACTACAAATTGGTGCTGCCAATTTGGAAAGCAGTATGGAGATTCCTGGGAAAGCTGGGAATGGAACCACCATTTGACCCAGCTATTGCCCTTCTCGGACTATTCCCTGAAGACCTTAAAAGAGCATACTATAGGGATACTGCTACATCGATGTTCATAGCAGCACAATTCACAATAGCTAGACTGTGGAACCAATCTAGATGCCCTTCAATAGATGAATGGATCAAAAAAATGTGGCATTTAAACACAATGGAGTATTACTCAGCACTAAAAAATATGAAAATCATGGCATTTGCAGGGAAATGGATGGCATTAGAGCAGATTATGCTAAGTGAAACTAACCAATCCCTAAAAAACAAATGCCAAATGTCATCTTTGATATAAGGAGAACAAATAAGAACAGAGCAGGGAGGAAGAGCATGAGAAAAAGATTAACATTAAACAGGGACAAGAAGTGGGAGGGAAAGGGAGAGAAAAGGGAAATTGCATGGAAATGGAAGGAGAGGGCTGGGGATGTGGATCAAGCGGATCAAGCCTGGCATGCAAGGGACCCGGGTTGAATCCTCAGCACCACATACAAACAAAGATGCTGTGTCCGCTGAAAACTAAAAATAAATATTAAAAAAAAAATGGAAGGAGACCCTCATCGTTATACAAAATTACATATAAGAGGATGTGAGGGGAAAGGGAAAAAAAAAACAAGGGCAAGAAATGAATTACAGTAGATGGGGTAGAGAGGGATAGTAGAGAATAGGAAAGGTAGCAGAATACAACAGTCACTAGTATGGCAATATGTAAAAATGTGGATGTGTAACTGATGTGATTCTGCAATCTGTATATGGGACAAAAATGGGAGTTCATAACCCACTTGTATCAAATGTATGAAATATGAAATGTCAAGAGCTTTGTAATGTTTTGAACAACCAATAATAATAAAAAGAAAACTTATTACACTGATGAGCAACGTCAGATGCATTTTACCACATTTGAGTTTGGCAATAATTCACTTTAACAAATGAGGTAAAAAGAGAGCTATGATTTTTTTATTTTTATGCTTCCAGGGATTGATCCCAGGAGCACTTAACCACTTACCCACAATCCCCAGCCCTTTTTATTCATTCACTCATTCACTCACTCACTCACTCACTCACTCACTCACTCACTCACTCATTCATTCATTCATTTATTTTATGTTGAGACAGGGTCTTGTTGAGTTGCTAAGGGCCTAACCAAGTTGCTGAGGATGCCTATAATTTGAGATCCTCCTA